CACGTAGGCTTATTTGAAGATAAGTCACTCGCGTTGCGGTGTGCCAGCGGGAGTACTTCATAAACATTTCAATTTGATCGTTTTAAAAATCCCTTTCGTCTTTCGCTGAAAGCTATAAAACTTTTACGTTCGTTCCGAGAAAATCAAACATTCGAACGAACCAACCGCGCGCCTTTCGCGATGATGGAGGAAAAGCGAGATTACGCGTTTGAAACACAGGATAAACTCTTTACCGATATTAATTGGAAAAATCGAGCTTCTGTCAATTAACAATTTTCTCTTTAATCAGGCCATTTCCATTATCTCGCTGCACGCAACAGCAGCATTATGATTTCCAGATAAACGCCGTCACTGCGTGCGCACTCGTACGTTATTTTCCAATCTTTATTATGCAGGTAACCGGAGTAATGGAATTAAAGGGAGAAACGAGCTTGATGATTGCAAAATTAAACTCAAGTAACAGCCCAGCAAGATAACGCAAAAGGATTCGCTGTTCGTGAAAGGATAACGATGTAGAAGAAAGTGAAAGTATACAAATGCCTGAATACTGATAACATTAGTAACATTAACACAGGTTCTGTACATTTTTATTGTTTTCTGTACATTCTTATTGCCTTTAAATGTGAATATTTAAACTTTCTATATAGAATATATACAGGGTGTCTGACAGTTGTTGACACACCGATCTGTGTGCAGGTAAAACTCATCAAAATAAATACAAAATTCCTGTATCATTTCGCAAATAACCAGATGAAATTTTGAATTATTAATTAGAATTAAGGAGAATTGGCGAATAATCATTCGCAATATAAGTAGATAAGTTATGATAGCGACATCTACCTTCGTGTACTTGTATATTGAGCCAAATTGGACAAAAAAATTCTCTACCATTTTGCGAATGACCGCGTGGATTTTTAGTTATTAATTAAAGAAGATTGAGACATTATCACGCACAGTCATGCATTAATTTCCCTTAATTAATAACTAAAAATCCATGTGTTCATTTGCATATTAGAGGACTTTTTGGTCTATTTTGACTTAATAAATGAGTACACGGTGCGCACAACAAAGTCAAATAAAATTTCATGTTTCAAAAAAGCTACAGTCGCAAAACATGAGCCGATTTCCATGTCTTTTTTTTTTTTTAATGAAAACTAATGAGACTTAGAGTAAACTTGTCGAGTCAGATTTTTATCTCTTGCTTCCTTTCTTCTAAATTTGAATAAGAAAAGATTTCTCTTCTTCCCCATTCTTCTAAATTTACTTGAAAAAGTTTTAAATTTAACTTATTTCTGTCTGATTTAGAAAAAGAGAAGCAAAATATGAAAAACTGATTCGACGAAATTGTATCAAATTTCGTTAGAATTCATTGAAACAAAAAAAGTACCGAAATTAGTTCAAATTTCGAAGCTATGTGGCCCTTCTGAAACAAAAAATTTCATTAAACTCCACTGCAGCGGCGGCAAACGTCGCCATTACAGTTCATTCATCGTATCGCGCATAATCATTCACCAATCTTCTTTAATTAATGACTCTAAATTTTACGTAGTTGTTCACGAAATGGCAAAGGACTTTTGTGTTCAGTTTGATGAATTCTACCTGCACACAACGGGTGTGCCAATAATTGCCAGATATTCTACGTTAAACGTTTAAATATTCGTATATAAAAACCAAAATGATAAAAATGCTCAAAATCAAATACCAATGTTATTAGTGCCCAGACATCTTAGTACTTTTACCTTAACCCTTAGGCTACGGCGTTTTTTATCAACGTTAATTAGGCGTGAAGTCCTCGACTGACCTCATTTTATTTTTATTAAATAAGGAAAAAATATGATAAAAATTAAGTAATATTAAAGTAGAGTGTTTAATTTAAAATTATGTTTAATTTAAATGAAAATTAAATAAATTAAATAAAATTAATTAATTAAATTAATTTAATTAATTTAATTAAATAAAATTAAATAAAGTGTTTGTAATCTATAGTTTAATAGAATGCTCAATAATAAAGTAATAAAAATAAAATTTAATAGCAAAACTTTTTCTCAAAAAAAAAAAAAAAATATATATTGTAATTATTTTTGAGGTTCTCTCGAGACTCCATAGCTTAAGGGTTAAGCGTGAAGATTTCTAGCACACCGGTTAGAAATACCAGGAGATTTTCACGGCTATCCGCACCGCCGTCCTTCGCGCGTTCGGTTCTCGCATTGGCTCCTGGTTTACTTAAGTTTGAAGGAGGATTGATCCCTCTTCCTTCTCTTCTGCTCCTTCTTTTCTTCTACGGAATTTTTCATTCCTTTTGGGACGCGTTACCGCGAGGATTTGATCCTTCATACGTGGCGGGCTTGTACAGCGAAGAAAGGATTTCGTTGTCGAGACGGAAATTTGGTACACTGGGTCATAATTTGATCAAAACGGGATCAACCAAACGTTCGTAACCGAGAACATTTAATTGCCGCTATGTGACTGTGCGTCCTACTTTCTCAATAAGGCCCGATCTACAATAGATGGAGTAAGAAGTAGGAATAGGAGTAAAACGAAATGGAAATAATTTATATAAATAATTTATATAAATAATTTATATAAATAATTTATTTCGCTTAGACCCGATCTACAATAAAGTTTGCTCGTCTACATCACATGGAGTAAGCCTGAATTAAGTAGTAAGAGCTGAAGTAAGGGAGTAAGCGAATAAATTATTTTCATTTCGTCTCATACTCTTACTCCTACTCCTTACTCCATCTATTGTAGATCGGGCCTAATGCGTGCGTGTACTCGACGCAAGTGGAGGACGCGGTAAAGCGTCGATCATAAGGTGATACGTACGAAATATTTCAGTTCCAAATAAAGGAATAATTGTTTCAGTATACGCAACGCGCTGCACCGCGAAACGACGAAGCCGTAAACGAGAACGATCAGCGAATTCGCATCTCGCAGCCAACTTTTGTCAATTAGCAATCAACTGAGATAAAAAGCGCCGATAATGGTGCTCCAAGGCAATTCTCCGAGACGCCCACGTACAAGTTTAACGATTATTGTCTCGGGCACGTAGCAGCGCCGTCGCGCTACTTTCTAACGGCATTCCGGATTGTCCTGAGACCGGGCTCGGCCCCATCGATGCGCCTAACGACTATCGAGTTGGAAGCGAAAGCTCGTTTGCCGTATTATACGATCCGTGGATCTTTTATTCTGGCGTGGCGCGCGCGCGCGCCAATAAAATCGACGCGTGAGAGTGCAAAACGCGTAACCGATCGAAACGCGTAAACTCGTGATGCGCATCGTTTTGTCGTTAATACAATAACGGCAAAAATGAAATTTTAATTCCCCATTTTAATGAGCACTACGATGGCTAATGAATCACTCGGCGAATATTCAGAAAGAATCGACCGATGTTTTATTATTTAACGGATACCTCGGAGCAAATGCATGCGTGAGCGCATGAGCGCGCCATTAATTACTTTCTCTCATCGGAAATCAATGCGATTTACGTCTAAACGTGCACAGCGCGCGATATGACGCTTTGTTGCGCGTCCAAATTGGACACTCACCATTTGCCGTTGATACGCCACGACGTACGGCGTCCAGCTTCCTCAGCATCCGAGCCTCCGAGAAGCGTCCAGCCAATCTCCCACGTCGATCACTTTTCGTCCGCTTCGTTCACCTGACTGCGCTGCACCAATGCGCTGTACTTCGTTGCACACACGGCCGCGATAACTCTTTAACGGCGCTCAACGTTTAACGATTTCGTGATACGCGCCGGATGAATTACTCGGCAATATGTCCGCGAGTCGTACGCGGAAAAATCGCGAATTGCACGCGAAAAAATCGTGACGTTTGCGAGAAGGAAAAAATATCCGGTTTCGTGAATGATTATTAAAAAAAGAACAAAATACGGGGTTCTCGTTTCGCGAGGATTATAATTCCAAAAAAAGATTATTTATAAATATTCACTTCGAATTTGGCGGTATAAATCGTCACGTATGAAAGATTTAGGAGATCGATATAATCGCGACGATATCGCGAAATTTATTACGATTGCAGTAAATGTTCGCGAATTCCGCGTGTATGACGTAATGACGTAATTATGATGCGCACTTTATGTTGCTTGAGACAATCAGGAGATCGCATGGTTCCGAAAAATTTTGTATCTCGAGTCAGATATAATAAGTGCCAAAAGTTCACATAAGGAGGAAAGTTTGTAGTGAAAATTACTGTGAAATTTTGTAAACGAGAAATAGATCAGTATCTTGCAATAATTGTATGATTATCATTTTATTTTTTATACTATTTATATATTCTAGGAACTATAACGTGCTATTAAAAAATTTGCTGTTTTTGGCGAAATTTACTATATGTTTCTTACTCAAGCTAGACCTTTTATTGACCTTTTATTTCTATTCCTGCACTACTGGAAACATAATAAAGTTGAACAAAATTTTATATAGAAAGAAACTACAATATTTCCTCCGTGTGTAAGTAAGTTTATTGAAGGTTGAAGATAAAGAGATTAGAAGAAAAATCAGGAGCTTTTAAAAAGAGATATTCAGCAATTCGAATATCCTCTGGATAAGATGGATATTTTGAGATCGCCTGATTATTTCCAACCGTGTAACATGATGAGAACAGTACAAACATGTACATTCGATTTCAGTACGACTCAAACTCAAGTATAATATACCGTCTTCCGCACTGCATCCAAAAAAGTGTTCAAAGAGTACTGAATCAAATGTACATGCAAAATCCAACATGTAAAAATTCACGAGGTAGTCCGAGTCCAAATTTTGCCTTTGCATCAATCCCGTAAAATTTGGAACGTTGGAGATCCTGATAGAATCCGAGGATTCAGGAGAAATGAAAGAGCACGAACTTGAAATCTCGACTCGGGTTGTAAATCGCATTGATTCCGATAAGATTTCACGAACATCCACCACCGAAAAACCACATCACCTGTATACCCATTTTTCTGACTCACCGAGAGACCAGGAACCTCAGGGCCGGCCACGTTCTGCTACAGTTCTGCAAGCAAAAATATAGATTCGTTGATTAAATATGAGAAATTCAACAGAATTTCGTGAGAGAAACACGCGTTGACCCTCCGCGATCGTTGCGACTCAATGATCTTCCTTCCGCAACTAGCACGTTGCGGTTCTCGATCGTGAAGTTTAATGCGAAAGTATATGAGGTCGGTAAGCCTTACCTTCGAGCCGACCCTGCTCGGCCCGAACCGGCTCCTTCGGTATTGCGTCAGCATCCGCCGGAACCGCATCCTCCGTACCTGCATCAGCCGCGTGGCCGTGAGATCTCCGTCGGATCTGAAACAAAAAACAGTTTTCCCGATTAGTTGCAGCGGTGGAGAGAGGTTGCTCGGCGAAGACCACACTGAGAGAGAAAATGGTTGATCTAACCAAGATTACAGTTATTTTTGGCTCCAACTAGAGACCTTTGAATCAGAATCTGGCCATCACTGCGGTTTTGTTAAAATCTTATGAGAGAGAAGAACATATTTTCAATCTCTCTCTTTGTCTATCTCTCCTTAGTCTAGCCTGACTTACTGCGATGGGAGTACTGCGATTGAATATTGTGTGGGATTTGACAAAACATGGCGAACCAAAAAATTGGCTGTCTTATGGCCAGACTCTGATTCAAGGATCTCTAGTCCCAAAAATATCCTTTGGATGTTCTAACCATATACTTCTTCATATAACTAGATTGCTAACTCCCTTATATATGGTACCAAAAAATGGAGTCTGAAAAGTATGTATCAGATATGAGAAGTAAACGCATACGTGACGTAAGTATTGGGTTAATCCATGAATTTGTGCGGATTTTTCAACAAAATTGAAATGCATTTTACTTTTAAAGCCAATTTTAATAGATAATATATGCGCTATTCTGTCCGACAATCTTTTGCCATCTTTCACGCAATTTCATGATTCTTCGTCCTCGTAAAACTCTTGTACTTTTCCGGCGAAGGAACGTTCCAAGTGATTTTTAGCATCTTTTAGAGAGGCAAAGTTTCTAGAGAAGCATCGTCAAGAGAGTTTTGTGCGTAATGAGCGAAACAGGTGATAATCGGAGGGAGAGTAAAGTCGAGTGAACATAGTTTATAGTACAAGAGAAACACTTCAGTCAAACTCTAACAATTGTTAGTGAAAGTAGAAAGTAAAAAAGCATAATGCACCGGTAAAACTTATTACTGCCTTCCATTTTCAAGCCGCAGCAAAGATAACTACTTCTTCAAACACTATCATTTACACCGCGAAATATGTTCTGAAATATCAGGTATCAAAGCATGTACATAGATAACCATATGAAATTATTCTCTTAATACTAATATGCGAATGTCAACTAGATAAAAATTCGCACGAATTTATGGATCAATAGTATAGAAGAGAAGATAGTAGATATGTAACATGGCCGATGCTTACACATGTGCCTTCGACCGATCAGGCGTGACTATTCAGTACACACATCACCAATCATCTCACCACACACTACTCACATGACGCATGAGTTTATATATGTACATGAGTACATATTTTTCGGAACTATACATATATTTCACTCAAGTATAAGCGATTTAGTAATGCATAGAAATCTGTCGTTCCAACACGAAAATAGTAATAGTAATATGCATATAAGATTATTATCGCTAATAATGTGACAGAATTTAATGAGAGAGACACTAGTTTTCTCGACTACAATTTAGAAAAATCATTTCTCCATGTGATAGTTACAAATACCAAACATTTTTTTTCTCAATCTCATTTGCAATTGAGAGCATGAAAAATTTATGATTCGTCTGCGGAATATGTTCCCTTTGAATTTGAATAAAAATGGAACGTGGCAGTCACCTTTGAGATCTCGCGGAATGCTGCCGTTGCTCACGACGATCACGCGCGTCAAGGTATCGCGATGTACCTCACGGTGGCACCGATCAATTTGGACAGGTACGAAATAACGTGCCACGTGACGCGATACGTTCGCCTTCGCGTCAAAGACTGACTTGCGATTCAAACACAAGCTTATCTAATGTTTACTTCCTGCAGGCAACAAGGTCGCGCGACTCCTCGCGCGCCGGAACACGCTTAAGTGTGCCGTTACCAAATATTTAACCGACTTCAAAAAAAAGCACGAAGAGAATGTCGTATATTGAGAAACAAATATTTAAAAATTAACAAATATTTATTAGGTAGATACTATTAACATATTTACTTAAATCAAAATTCTCTTTATTTAAACCGAGTGTTTGCTCGGTTTAAGTAAACAACATTCGGTTAAAATAAAAAGAATTTTGACTTAAGTAAATATGTTAATGGTAAATATGTTAATTCACCTAATAAATATTTTTAATTTTTGTTAATTTTTAATTATTGTTAATTTTTAAATATTTTTTTCTCAGTGCAGTACAAATTATAATACTCCAGAAATAGACGCACTATAATGGAAATTATAATAAGACATAGTAAAAGTGACCATGTAAAAATTACGATAAATGTA